TGGCGTCATTTATTCACGTCAAACGAGTCAATCGATTTGTCTAGTCAGCATCCCTATGTTTCACTTAGTCAATTCAGACTACCTCGACGTTTTTGACGATAAACAACTAAATCATTAGTCGCTTCATAGCAAGGCATCAGTTCATTCAACATGTTCGAGATGTCTATAGCTTTTAACAAACAGGTTCTTCGAACAAATCGTCTATACGTAGTAAAGAGTAGCAATTCTTGATCGTCAGTTTGTCCATCATTCTTAACAGGGATGTGATAGTATCTTGACCGTAAGTCAATCTTAGAGAATACAATGGATCCTCTAAGCTAATCAAATAAGTCATGACACGAAGTAAAGGATAACGAATTGTTCAACTGACAGTAGTTGATATAGAGTCTCATTGATTCTTCCTTATTCACGTTTGAACAGAATAGATACTCTCCGATAAAGGAAACACTTTGTCAGATGATTCCTTCTTAGGCAATCTTCATAGTTGAGTTTTTTTTTTCAACGGAAACATATTCAATACAGAGTTACGAATATTGGTCCTCTCGAGGATCAAGATTGATAGAGTTTTCAATTTCTTGGAACGGTGAAATATAAGGAAGTTCATATTAGAGGGGTGACATACTTTCGGTACGTTCCTTCAGCTTAGATGTTTCTTTTTTGGGTATCGCACGAATAGAATTTACACTTGAGATGTTTTTGTATATATATTCGAGATGAACTTGGTCGGTTCAGAAATCAGCTTTGCGTTCACCTCTATAAGGTTACCATCATTGGTCTTCAGTTGAGGAATTCTTAATCACAAGTTGACAACAGCAACGACGTTCAGTCAGTTAATGCATACTAAGGGTAATGTCGATTTCCTTGTATGGTACTTCAACGATGTTTTTTTTTACAAAGAATTGTCGCTTAACGAATGATTTCAATTCAAATTTTGTAATCGCATAATGTGTTCTAATGAGTCAAACAATAGTATCTGATACTTTAGATAACAAAGTTTATTGATTCTAAACGTTCGTGTTTGAATCAGCGATTAGATTGTCTTGATTCCACATGAGGATCTTTGACATCAGCTTCACAGATTTTGTTCGTAAAATCAATATTAATCGTTTCTTCAAAGTCGTCTTACTTCTACGAGACGTTCCGGTATAGATCAATTTTGTCATTCCCGATGCGATGCGTACGCTAATAACGTATCAGAAGGTTATACACATTTCATTTACTCTTTCGTCTCTTCACCGAGTACGAAGGATTGACTTGAGTCTAGCTCGATGTAGTTTTTTTTTTGTACTAACAATTATTATCTAATGAAAATTTTAACAAGTCAATATTTACTAGGTAAATTCTCATACCTTTCCTGGAGCAGAGGGATGCGAGAGTCGTGGATGTGATTGACAATATTTTTTTTTACCCAAAATATATAATATATTTTTTTTTTTATTATCAAACATTGATCCGAAGATCGTGTTTAAAACCATTTGCTCCGATACCAAATTGTAACACCCTAATCCGTCCAGGTCTGCAGCCCCATTCGGACTAAAGTATTTAACTTGGTAATCGTAAAATTTAAAACTTTTCAAACACACTTTATTAATCTCAATAATATTTTTCATAACATATACAGTACGGAGTATTTAAAAATATTGCGGAAGCGAATTTAATATTGACATATCATAAATCATTTCAAAACTTGTCACATCCATCCCGACAATCTCGCCCCATCTACCGCCACGATCACATTAATCTTTCTGTTTACCTGCGTGTAGCAAATAAAACATACTACACGCTCAGCGGTGAAGCTGAGTAAGCATATCTAAAACGTCGAACATCCACATAAATTGAATCTCAATTCATAATCAA